ATTAGAAAAAAATTCTTCACTGAAAGAGTTTTCAGGCAATGGAACAGGCTGCCCATGGAAGTGGTGGAGTCACCATCCCTGGAGGTGTTCAAGAAACGTGTAGATGTGGTGCTGAGGGACATGGTTTAGCGAGTTAGGTGATGCTGGGTTCGACTTGATGATCCTTGAGGTCTTTTCCAACCTTAATGATTCTATGATTCTATGATTTTCATCTTTATCAGCAACATGGCAAGACAAGTTCATAGAAAACCAAGCCTGACTAATTTCAGTGCTCAAAGCCAAAGGTTACTTTTACAAAATGATTCCTAGAGAAATAACTTTTTTAAAGTTGCTCTATCAATATTAGTTTGTCAGAACCGGGACTGAAACAGCCTCGGCCAAAACATACTCACCATACTTATTCACTATCAATTAAATACTTAAAACTAAAAATCAATATTTAACCTACATAAATTTTTAAGTGTGTGTATGCATACACAAACTTTAATTCCTTACTTTTGGGTCATAATCAGGATCATTTTCTTCATCTGCTTCTTCTTCCCCCTCCTGAAAAAAAACATTTATTTATATTTGTCTAGCTTATCCACATTCAGCTTCCTGAGCCATTTTCAAGAAAATTAAGATTAAATTCTACTGTTAAATACATTAATTACCACTTTAAGTTATGTACATTGTGTTAGCTTACCCTCCACAAAGCATATCATCTTTTGATGTCAGTTGCAACTTAATTTGTAAGACACCTTAGGGTTGTTTTCATTTGGGTTTTTTGTTACTTTGCTGGTTTGGTTTGGTGTTTTTTCTTTTTTTTTTAAATATTCACCCTAGATCCACAAAACGATGTGTTGTGTCTTCCATTCATAAGTAAGTGTCCAAAACATTCAAAAACTAAAGGAACTTTTATTCCAAATAAACTACAAAAGGGAAACCACTTAAATCAAAGCCATCTGTCAACTTACCTCATCATCTGCCTCTTCACCTTCTTCATCATACTAGGAAAGAAAATAGTTTTGATAGTGTCATAAATGCAGCCATAAATGGCTCAAGTACAGCCAGACAAATCAAGTAGATGCCAGAGACTACACTGTATTGTGCTTTAAGAGAACTTCGTATACCTGACAGATTTAAGAACGCTTTATGCATCAGCATGAACAACGTTCAAACTCTTAAACTATGCTCTGGCAGGGAAAACTGTCTACCTTAAGTTCCTTAAATGCAACACTGGAAGACCTCAGACTGTGATAACACTTCCGGCCAGTAGGGTGTGTCGAAGCCTAATGCAATCTGTATGGCCAGTTACCTTCCTCTTCTACCTCCCAGAGCCAACAAGGCTTTGGCTAAGGGCTACCATTTCACTTACCTTAGCCAAATCAAACTGTCAAACTGCCCTTATTTGTGTGGAGACAGGGGAACATATTTTACCCATATAAAGTTTTGTGGTTTGTTTTTCAAGCTTAGTCCCTTTTAAAGCACTTAATTTCAAGCTTTTGCAGAGCTTGCTTTGACTATTTTGGCATGCTTTGAATGTGCTTATCTATAATTTCCTAAGAAGAGTGCCCTCCTGAAAGGATCAGGCTTGAATCTCAAGGAACACGGTAGCCCAGGATCACTGTAAGCACAAAGAACAGCCTGAGCAGCTAGATAAATAGACATATTTGTTGTCTGGCAGGTCATTATAGTTCTACCAAAGTATTGGGTATATCACTCTAGGAATGCCTTATACACAAAATTCAACTCAGACATCCTCTAAACATTCAGCTTCTACCGCTACTTTTGCCACAAAACTCTGAAGTCACTACTTCAAAGATTAATTACCTTCGTGCTGCTCTCTACTGAACACTCTAGGAAGCTCAGCTGAAACTAACATTGATACATCCCATTCTAAGGATGCCAACATTACAATAAATCAGAAATTAGCCAAAGTCTTTAAGCAACATTATTTCAAAGTTTTTAGCATTTTGAAAGAACATTATACTTACATCATCATCATCATCTTCAATAGCTTCTCCTGTGAAGTACAATACTGATCGGGGGACTATACGTTCACGCAAGAAATGACCGATTTCAAAGTCTGCAGCAAGGATTGCCTCAGAATCATCATCCTGCACAAAACAAAATCAGTTCCTAAACCATAAGCTGATAAACACAAGTTGCACAGTTTATGTGGTCAAGTTTATACAAATCCCTTGTGCTAATTTTTTTTTGGTTCAGGACTTGCTTTATAGAATTAAAATTGTGGAGTCAAGTTTTACACTTTAAATAGCCTACTTGCATTATGCAATACATAACCATATATGCAATATATGCAATGTATAATTATGCAATGTACAATGTATAAAGCACCCCCCAGCTGCTTCTTCAGTAAGCTTAATTATACAAAATTCTGGAGTTTAATTTTTATTCTTCCCCCACCTCCAACTTGGTTTTGTTCTAAGTAGAAAAACTGTTTAATACCTCCCCACAGATTCTCAGTTTGTATGCACAACACCCTTAAGAACTAAACACTAGCCAGGTAAGCCTATCTAATTAAAGATTTTACAAGCTACTTCTGATTCTTACAGTGCATCGTTTCCATGATTCTCATTAAGCAAGCCAATATAAAGCATCTGAACACCTAAAAATGCTCTCTGATCCAGTCTCAGGTTTTCACCCCTTTTGATTACACACTGCTGTCTCCCATCTGAGAAGTTACCTTCAATTCAAAAAGCTTGTTTTTTATTTTAACATTATGAACAGCTTTTAGAGTCCATGCCAACTGGAGTTCTAACACCATGCTTCTTGAGGCTTTCATCAGATTTCTCACTCAAGCTTCATCATGTATTCAGTACTGTTAAGTGTTCTTGGTAGTTTTCCTCCTTACAAAAACATGGCTTACTGCCAGAGTTTTCTACTAGCAAGCACACAGAAGAGTAGGTTCTTGCAGCTTTCTGTTCTTTTTTTTTTTTCACTTTCTCCAAGAGCTAATAGCTTGGGAATTTAACAGCATAAAATACAAACCAGCTACCTGCAGCCATTAGAAAAGATCATCCAAATAACACCCAAAGGGAGAGACTTACACCACCCATTAGATCAATGGCTAATAACGAAGATCACTACATTTGTACATCTGTTACCACAAGGTAACTTTCAGTAAGGATAAGCTGTTAAAGTTTACTAAACTGAACTGTACCATCTAACTCAATAAATACTCAAATACTTACTATTCATCACAAGTATTCTCAGTTAAATACCGAAAGAGTTAAAGCTAAAGCTGTTTAACAAATTCCCAAACAATTTCAACAAACATTTTGTATATAAAGGCATAAATTCTTCTACTGGTGTTTCTCTTCCACCCCCTTATTTTAAATAAGTCAGCTTACCAGGTCTCCACTTTCAGGAACTGTGGAAAAAAAAAAAGAAGAAACAAGTGAGTGAAGTACATACTACATTTAAAGTTAATACAGATAAAACTAATGATCCGTTTACCTTCAGGAGGACTAAAGAAGTTGAAGAAAGAGTCATTGGAAACAGTTTTTGTCACTGTTCTAACTGTTCCACGACCCTTATGTTTCTGCTTCTTCTTAATGGTTTTCAAAGTAACATTCTTTCCTTTTTTCCAGTCTATTTGGCAACTGGAGAGAAAAAAAAAGCTACAGCTTAAAACCACTCCCCTTGTTATAGGAAGCTACTAAGACTATCACAACTGTAAGGGATACAGTGAATATAAAATATTATGGTAGTATTTATTCAGTGATCTTTTCATTACTTTATACTTTTGAGAACATAAGTAACAGGTTCATTTTAGGATTGAAGTTTTTTCATCCAAAAGTTTCTCTTTCCCCACTCAGTCTTCTCCAAAATACAAATTTTCACCTGCTACCAAGTTCTGTCTAGTGGCCTATCAAAGAATGGTGTCATATCACTTTTAGAGCTACCTATCCATTATAATGTAGTGTCATATTTGGTCATGCTAGTGATATGCCAAGGAATACACAAAGGTTTACTACGCCTACCACTCTAATCAATAAGCCTTTAAAATAATGCATAAAGCAGGTGTGTAGCTTTTGGCGGTTTTTTAGTTGTTTGTGGGGTTTTTGTTTTGTTTTGGGTTTTTTTTGTTTGTTTTTATCCTGCTAAATCATGCCCACAGGCCTGACACTCACACAGAATTCCGGGGACATGTAAATGAAGAAGTCACATCAATAAGACCATCTGTATGCCCAGAAGTTTCTGATTAGATTCCTTTAAAGACTCAAAGGAAGGAGGTGAATTGCTTTGGGATAAGAGGAGGTCATCTTAGTTAAAACACAGAACAAGGACTAGGAATAAGTAATTTTCACAGAAACAGAGAATCATCTTACAGTGGCCTCTGCCAGAATCTATGCTTTTCAAAAACAGTCTAAACTGGAGAAGACAAAACAGTTTGATCAAAGCTACTCAAGCATTTAAGACTAAATCTTACAGAACATTTGCAGAAATATACTACATTAAGTGACTGGGAAATGAAAATGACTGTTCTCCATTTCTCAAACTGAAAGACACCCAGAAGCAAACATTCTACAGTGACTGGAGAACAGTATTTCTTGATAAATACTGATGAGTTTTTTTTTTTATTTATATGCATATATGATATATATACACCATATATAATTTAAGAACACTTTCCATAGAGGCCAAGAGCTGTCAACCACCAAGTGTAAGAAATCAGGAAAGGAAGGCAAAAAAACAGCATGGCTGAGCTGAGACCTGCTAGTCAAACTAAAGGGCAAGAAGGAAATACACAGGCAGTGGAAGCAGGGACAGGTATCCTGGGAAGAGTACAGGGACATTGCCCAGTTGTGTAGGGATGGGGTCAGGAAGGCCAAGGCACAGGGACACAAAGAATACTAAGAAGGGCTCCTATACATATGTCAATCAGAAAAAGAAGGTTACAGGAAGTACACTCCTCCCCTGACAAACTCAAGCACAACAACAGAGGAAGAGAAGACTTAAGTACTCAACTTTTTTTACCTCAGTCTTCACTGACAATCTCTCTAAATTGGAGATACATGGATTTGGCAGATAGACTATTCAGCGGATAAGGAATTGGCTGGATGGTCACCTCCAGAGACTAGTGGTCAATGTTTCAATGTTTGGATGGAGATCAGTGATGAGTGGTGTCCCTCAGGGGTCCATATTGGAACCAGTACATTTATTATCTTCAGCAGTGACAGAGACAGTGGGATCAAGTGCACCTTCAGCAAGTTTGCAGATGACACCAAGCTGAGTGGAATGATTTACATTCCTGAGAGACATGAGGCCATTCAGAGGGACCTGGACAGGCTTGAGAAGTGGACCTATGTGAACCTCATGAGGTTCAACAAGGCCAAGTGCAAGGTCCTGCACCTGGGTCGGGGCAACCCCTGGTATCAGTACAGGCTGGGGAATGAAGGAATTAAGACCAGCCGCAAGGAGAAGGACTTGGGGCTACAGGTTGATGAAAAACTGGACATGATCCAGCAATGTGCACTCGCAGCCCAGAAAGCCAACCACACCCTGGGCTACATAAAAAGAAATGTGGCCAGCAGGTCGAGGGAGGTGATTTTGTCTTTTTATCCTGCTCTGGTGAGACCCCAGCTGGAGTATCACATCCAGCTCTGGAGTCCTCAGCACTGGAAAGACGCAGACCTGTTGGAGTGGGTCCAGAGGAGGGCTACAAAAATGATCAGAGGGATGAAACACCCTCCCCTCCCCGTGAGGAAAGGCTGGGAGAGTTGACGCTGTTTAGCCTGGAGAAGAGAGAGGTCTGGGGAGACCTTATAGCAGTGTTTCAATACTTAAAGAGGGTTTTACAACATCAGGACAGATTTTTAATAGGGCCTGTAGCAACAGGACAAGGGTAATGGCTTTAAACTAAAAGAGGGTGGATTCAGACTAGATGTAAGGAAGAAATTTTTTACAATTAGGGTGGTGAAACACTTGAATAGCTTTCCTAGAGGTTGTGGAAAACATTCAAGGTCAGGTTGGATGGTGCTTTGAACAACCTGATCTAGTTAAATATGTCTGTGCTCATTGCAAGGGGGTTGGACTAGATGACCCTTAAAGGTCCCTTCCAGCCCAAACCATTCTATGATAAAATATACAGTTTTATATATTGTATTAAAGTTACTGAAATACACTAAAAGACTCACGTCAAATCCAGCTGTTTACGAGTTATTAGGTAGCAGTATCTTTTATAGCACCTTCCCAAAATGCTGTAAGTCTACAGTTGGATAATGCTAAGGAAGAAATTGTTACATTGCTTTAAAGTTATTTATTAGCACTTACCCTGTGCAACCCATGATTTCTGGTCCATCAAAGGAGAAGGGATCAGAATCATCTGGCTCTGACCTCATTCTATACGTCTTTGTCAACACTTCATTTGTGAAGTAGTCATTTGGTTCAAAATGAAATTCTAAGGTGAAACTCTTAGAAAGAATTGCAGAGTGACAACTTTAGCAATTTAGCAACACATACCTTTAACTTCTAAGTACCCTAAATTCAAAACCAAAAATACACCTGCAACAGAACATAACCATCTCTACCAATATTGAAATGGTGCACATACATAACTTATTCTGGAATTTGCTACCCAAGTTGTACAATAAATCTCCAAATGTTTTCCTTCACCATGTCAATTCTGCTTATTCCTTAATATACTACTTGCAGTAATGACACAAGAACTCCCAGTGTACAGCTTTCCTGCTGTTAATGTAAAGTGATAACTTTTGAATTTAAAATACCAAAACTTATCAAGCTATCTGGTTTCTGACAAGGAAATTACATCCAATTGTAACAGTTACACAAAAAGTACCTGAAGGTATCAAAATTTAAAGGTGAAACTTAGTCATCAGACATTAAGGCCAAGTTATCAACTCATCAGAATTTGAAGGTTAAATTAAGTATAAATTCATTCATGATACTGCAAGACTAGTACTGGTCCTTGTGCTGTTTTTCAGAAGACAAGAAGCAGCTGCATATTTCTCATGACTGCCATAAGACAATTGGCTATCACAGATCGCATTACTAATGAAAAAATAAAAGTCTTAAGATAACACAAAAGTAATCTTGTTTAATATGTTCAACTAACCATAGGCTGTCCAACTTCTGAAAATTTCACTTTTATATCTTTTAAGTGTTTCAGGATAGGTTCATCATGTTCCTGTAAAGAAAATACAGTTCATTCAATTTTGATAACATTAAATTGTACACCGATTTAAGACTCTGCAGATAAAAAAACCTTATTTATGATGAGTTTTACATAGGACAAGAAGCTTGTTAGAGCACTGAAACATTTTAATGAACATGACCAGCAGATGGCAACAATGGCTGTACAAAGTTTCCCCTGCAGTACACAACCTAAATCTGTGCAAACACCAAGTATAGTTTTCAGCAATATCTAATACACATCTCACACACACACTCCAATAAGCACAGAAAGTGTATTAGTAAGGTAAAATAAGTTAAACAAATAACACAGTAAGAAGGTATTTCAGAGTGCTCTGTGCTCTCAGTTGAATAAAGTACCAGAGGTGACACCCAAGTACTTGTTCCATTTTTGCTCTCCAAAAGCACAACAAATAATGTACTGTTTCTTACTCCTTTCTTAAAGACACCTGGATTAAGTATTAATGCAACAATAAACATGCCTGGACCACCACCTACCTGAACCATATCACTGAGCAAGTCCACATTCTTGAATACTGTCAGCCAAAACTCAGGAATTCCTTTAGGGTCTTCTTTTTCTTCATCTTTTTTTTCTTCTTCAAGCTTGGCTTTCTCTTTCATTTCCTCCTTGATAGAATAAAAATGTTAGTTTTTCTTAGAGTGCCCACAAGGTTTGTTAATTGCTTTATGTTAATACCAGTACAGATAAAATCTCATGTGAATGCTTTAAGCAATCATTAAGAATTATTATAAGCAAGGAATCATTATGCACCTAACTTTTTAGTTATTTTGAATCTTGTTTCATGCTAAAGCTTGAGATATTGATGAGAACCAATTAAGATACTCACTGACATTTCTTCTTCTGTATCCACTTTCCATTCACATTCTTCCTCTGTAGGTTCATAAATTGCATTGATGATTTCACTTCGCTGCAAGATTAAGCCAAGAATATTTTCACATTTCCTAGTCATTGCAACCAGCAATGCCCTAACCAGTAAATTCATAATCCTAAAGTCACACAATTAGCAATCCATTAACTGTTTATCAAAACTACTTATTCTGGCCCTAAAGGACAACTCAGCAGTTACAAGCTTTTCAACACGCTAAAATAAGCACCAAAGTTCCAGAAAGGTTACCATACCACCTGACATCTGCTCAATTAAGATGAGGCCTAGTATACTGAAGTGATTTTGGTAACCATGTAACAGGCTGAACCTTTCTCCCCCTTAATCTTAGTTGATATTCACATGGACAGTAAAATGGTGTCAATTGAACAGACACATGAGACCAAAGTAATTCAGAACATGCATAAGCTTTCATTTTATAGTCCCTTATGTATTAACTAAAACTTTTAAGTATAAATCAGATTACCATTAAAATACCTTGTCAAATAAGGGCTGATAGAGAGCAGCATACTTTCTTTCCAGCTCATGAACTTCCTCATAGAACTTGGCTTCTATCTGTGCACACTGAACTTGAAGGTTCTTGAGAGCATTCACACGTCTTTTAACAACTTTAGGCAAGCTGAAAAATTCAGTGACAGAAATGTTACTAACATTGCATTCCAAGCACATATTGACCCCTCCTTCACCAGTCCCTCTGAAAGTTAACCAACTTGCATCAACACAGATTTTACATTATTTTAAACTTTATAAAGTTGTACAAATCAAAATTACAAATCAAAATTACAACCCACTGTACCACGTGGATTGAAACTGTTAGCACAGGCTCTTAAACTGAGGCTTAACCTCAGTTAGAACCAGAGTATTGCAAACACCTGGGTCGATCATGACACAAACTTGTGCAATAAAATTTCATACTAAAACCAAGTTTTACATTATCATTGAGCAGCATAGTAAATTCATACAACTGAGCATAAAGGTCTGATCACTAGTTAGCTTGGTTTTATGAAAAAAAGTTCAAGACAATTGAGTTCTTTGCTAAGGAAGTCAATCTTCACAATTCACATTTCCTCATTTCATGAGGAAAGCAGCTGGTACTACTGTCTTCTAATATATTAACTGACACTCCCAAACTGAAGTAGAACTGTTTTGCTAAATGAGTCACAGTATTACACATGTGTAAAAGAAGAGTAATTAATGCAATCCTCATTATAAATACTTTTCAGCTACAACTCTAATACGTGTTTCACTTTAGTAAAATAGACTAAGCCAGACTTTCTGTTAGGACAGAAAGCTACCTACATGAAGGCTACTGGTGAGATTCATGGGGTAGATCAGCAGCAGTCTCCTTCACCTCTGAGTTGGGCCAAACTGCAGCATATGGCTACAGTTAACTTCCCATATTTATTTTATTCAAGCAGTTGTGCCACATTATTTAGAACACACTAGTAGTAAACAACTGCTTTTAATTGCTAGGACCAGCTTCAGGTTAGAGGAAATACCCAAGAAAAAACACTGAAGGTTCATATTAACTACTAAAGCTATCTTACCTCTATTAGATAGGACAAGCATATGTTCCGACAGCTTTGTTCACTTTAAAATGCAGAATCCTTCTCCCTTGCAGCTTTATGCTCAATACAAATATACTATTTCTGGTTACTAAGATAATATGCATATTGCCATTAAATCAATACTGCCCTTAACCTTCCAATTTGGGCATGAGTACATCTGCTACACTAACTACCAAAACCACTTAGATTCAGTCATGTATGCTCATTAAGGGTTGATAACATTCTCGTTACTCTGACATTTTTCCAGAAGTTAGTAGAGTTAATAATTTGCTGTAATTTTTATTTTCAAGTACAATATCAGAACTAACAGCAACTTCAGTAGCAAGTTCAGTCAGTCCAAGAAAAAAGTGATAAGGAAGAAAATTAATATGACCACACAGGTAAGTCATACAGCAATCATCTACTTAATGTCACATGCATATATCAAGGCTAAGAGTACTGGTCCTAGCAATTGCACATAAAGCACAATGAAATCTCTAAGAGGTAGCAGAAGTAGTATGTAGTGCCTTATGTGCAGCACGTACAACCTCTGGTATGTCAGAGTAAAGATTTTAACCCCTTTACTAGAGAATCTAGAATCTTTTGCATGTGTCAAAGCTACACTTTATTACAGTCCGTGCCAACTAGTTCAAATTTCACAGTCTGTACATTCTCTACCTTTATCAACTCCATACTTGTTTGAAAAAGAAAGGTAGTTTCATGAAAGAGACAGCTCTTAAAGTAAATCCAAAACGGAGGAGCAAACCAAGAAATCTGAACTGGACTGCACAAGTACAACAAAGTCAAGTAAAACCTGTGGTTCTGACAACAAGCCACTAGCAAATATTACGATAACACAAGAATACAAACTCCTGCAAGTGGTTGGGGGAAACTGTACTCTATGAAAGTAAGTTTCATTAAAATGATTGTGGCCAGGCACAGGTGACAGGGTAAGTTATTGGATAGCTGCCAAGCAATTAGTAGATTCTAAGCCTGAGCAGACAGATGTTTTCCTGGAACTTGTTTAGTTTAGTGCCCATGACCCTAAGTCATGAGTAAAACCCTCCCTGTCCCTGCCTCAGCCCACCAGGTGTTTAACAAAAACTGTCCCTCTGGCCTTTCTAAACCAGGACACATGGTTAAGTCAGTATGCATATGTTGAGGAAGAGCAGACTCAAGTTACACACACTTCCTTGTTATTTTGTATTGCAAGTTAGGTAAGCATTTAGAACATTGTCAAAGTTGCACTGCTTCTGTGATAGAGAATGCACTACTGTACTTAGAATTGATGAAGATATGGTACAGTATCATAGAGAGCAGCTGACTAGAAGAATGCCATGTAAATCAACGTTACCACTTTTGTTCACCTCTTAAGGTGATTAAGGACCTGAAAGACTAGTAGAGATTAATTAATATCTGTTGAAAAACAGAATAAAAATATTGGGTATAGAAAGCCTGTAGTGTACAATATCTAGAAGACAAAGAACCTGGGTACCCTTTGACTCCATGCTTGCTCTTAGGCCAGCATTTGCTAAGGAAGACTGTTAGTTAAATGGGCTTTTCTTCCATGCTCTCTCCTTGAAAGGCAAAAGTGGCAGGAGCAGGAGTAGCTGCAGCAGCAATGCCTGTTACTCAGTAGCTGCCCCAGTTCAAGTCAATAGCAATACAGGACTATCACAGCAGGACAGTTATATGCTTTACAGTTCCTGTGGATCAGGTGAAATGTTCATACACAATCAGAAATTACATGAGAGCCAGAAAATACTGTTAATGCAGATCAAGTAAAGCAAATTTTAGCAAGATTGTTGCAAGTTTTGATACATAAGGAGACCACATGAAGTACTGACACAACCTTCCTAATTTTATTAGCTCCTGGTTACACTCTAACAAAAAAAATTATCATCTCAGAGACACTAGGTTTCTAACTATTTGCCCATACTTAAGATGTATCATGATCAAGGCAAAGCTACAAAAGACATTCCAAGTAGCAAGGAACAGGGTCAGACATGATAAATATTTTATCATTCTTTTCTTGATAAAAGCCAAAATAAAAACTCCTCAATGCTGAGATGCACTACAGACAGACTGTATTATTTTCCTGCTATCTGGACACCACAGTGATTTATAAGTATTAAATCTTGTGCTGGTTTTGTCTGGGATAGAGTTAATTTTCATCATAGTAGCTAGTACAGGGCTATGTTCTGGATTTGTGCTGAAAACAGTGTTGATAATACAGAGGTGTTTTCACTACTGCTGAGCAGGGCTTACACAGCATCAAGGCCTTTTCTGCTTCTCACACCACCCCACCAGCAAGTAAGCTGGGGGTGCACAAGAAGTCTGGAGGGGACACAGCTGGGACAGCTGACCAACTGACCAAAGGGATATTCCACACCATATAATGTCCTGATCAGCATATAAACCTGGAGGAAGAAGAAGGAAGGGGGGGAATGTTCAGAGTTATGGCATTTGTCTTACGAAGCCTCCCCTTGTCCCTGGCTCTGTCTTGGACTTATCCACAGACTGCAGTCCCTTAGAGGGGTACACCTACTGCACCTGGTATTCCCAGGCATTCTCCCATCTGAGTACCAGAGACTAGTCAAGTGCAACAGTGGGAGTGGAGAAAGAACAAAAGAAACCTGCAACTGACTGTGAAGCTTTGAAGCCCCTAGGTCTGCCTTCTCAAGAGGAGAGAAACAGGAAGGAAAAGGATATTCTGTACCATAAATCATCATGCTCCTACATGTCCTACAGACAATACTTTTTAGAAAGCAAAAGAACCAATATACCACTCTGCTCATACTGAACAAATACTGTACCTTTCTATATATCCTGTAGATGTTCCTACCAGACCATCAAGTCTTTCCTGAAGAGCTGCAAGAATCTGAGGATTTTGCATCATCTGCACAGTCAACTGCCGAGCTAAATTAAAAGAGAACAATATTTAAGTGCAAAGTGCATCTTTCAGACTAACCTTGAGAAAAGTTACTTAAATAGTACAAAAGAGTCATAAATTTACTATATAGACACCTGAAAAAAGAAACATAGACAAAGAAGTATTTCAAACTCCTCTCCATTTTGGAAGCATGGATCAAACCCATCCTATTCTGAACATGGAAACAGCACCCCGATTAAAATGGCCACTATTCAGCAAGCTGAGCTTTTTTGTTAAAAACTAAGGTTTTATATGATGCCCCTAAAAGCATCAGTTTTGCCTTAGCTGCTTTTACTTTGAATATAAGGAAAGGCAATGTAGAAAAATTTGTGCTTTTACTTTAAGAAGGCAATAAAAACTGAAATTGGGATTTCATTCCATTTTATCTAAACGGAAATAAATTACGTTCAAACTTGGATTTAAAAATCGCTTTACAAAAATTTATGTTTACCTAATTTTTCCCAAAAAAGAATAAATTATTCATTTGAATAATCTGACACACTATTGATTACAGAATATGAGTACTATGTCCTTGAAGTCTCTCATCTATATCATCTTTAGAAAGCACTTTGCCCAAATGGGAAACCTGTTTCAAACTACAAGGCAGAAGTACATTTAAACACACAAATTCCGAGCATAAGTGTTCTCATTATCCATATTAACACGAACCCTTTTACTTCTGCTCAAAATCTGTGCCTCTGCAGAAATGAATTTCACAACTTCATATTTTTAAATAAGAATTTATGATCAGTTTTTATCATTGTTTTGCCTTCCTTATAAGATACTAACTAGGTTTATATAACATTCTTCTCATACCTTCAAATTAGAGTATAGCTTTTGAATCCTCCTTGATACACAAAGCATGCCATTTTCCATTTCTATGCCCTTTACTACAGTAACCACATGTGAATATTCTCTTCCATTTCTATGCCATAGCACTGAAATTACATGCTGAAAAGTTACATTTCAGGCAATATCCAAAAAAGCAGTCTTGTTTCTCCATAATGATTGCAATCAGTTTATATTTTAGCAGTAGTAGCTGTAATTACTTCAAGGTAAGCACATTAGTCAACACTACTCCTCTTGTCAAGGTATCTGATTTTCTCTGGTCTTACTATTCATTAATCTTCCCTATACACTTGAAAACCCACCCAATTGTGCCATTTGAGCATGTTGGCAGTTATTCTTTAGTACCAGACCAGAACACACATCCCCTCAAACCAAAATCCAACCACATAATGTTTTGCAAGTTCTTGAATCCATGAACACTATTTCTTCAAAGAGGTTTTTCCTAAAAGGATGAATGCTTTAGTGTCCACAGAAGGACCTGTAACATATTTTAAAATGGAATTACCTAGTTTAGAAAAAAAGAAATCAGTAAAACCTAAGGAAAAAATGTGCATTAAAAAATACTAGAAAACTAGAACAAGCAAGAACTACAGATGCAAATGAACTGCTTAACACTATGTCAAGTTTCCCTACTACTGAAACATGCATCTGATTTATGAAATCCAATTTCCCTCCACAATTCCTATAGCATAATTTCCCCTCAGATCCTCAACTACAATAGCTGGGATTCACCACTAAAAATACACATTATTCACCTCTAGGTTCCTTTGGGACACCTAAATACTTAACATTTAATTATTGCAAGCTGTTTTTCAGCTGACCAGTATGCTCCCTAGAATTTTGTAATCCAGTTTTGAAGACATTTTCTCAGTAGATACAGCAAAGCCTCCTCCATCATCTTGAGCAAAAGTTATCCTACTTTTCTTTAGTGTTATTATTCTATTCAAGCAGCCACATAATGCGGCACTATCAGCAGTCCAAATCATTTTATTGCAGGGATTATTTCTCTTTTGGCTGCTTGCCCTTCTGATTCTATCTGCACCTCCAACCTTTAACTACAAGGCATGAGTAAGACTGTTCAGCATAGACAAAACAAGTATTCTGATACATTTTAGGGTTTCTTTGTTGAGGGGGGGAAAAAAGAGAGAAAAATTTATTGATTTTAAGAGTGGTAACACTAAGCATGATTTCTGTTGTGTCCACAATCAAACAACTCAGCAGCAAATTACTAAGCAACTGATAAAAAAAAGACACACATAAAGCCACCTGATTTTTTTTCTAACCAAAGCTTCACATTTTAAAAGCTTTTAACTGTTAGTTTTGAAAGAATCTAGTTATGTACCCACAATTATCTTTTATTTTCCAGTTATACATCCTTATAGGTGGCCAGCACTGCCTGAACCAATACTAACCATGACTAAAATGAATGACTGCAGACAACTAATAAAAACAACTGGAAAAAAGTCGTTGCTTCGGAATTTTAATACAGTTGTGCATCAGTAGTTATGTTTTATAATTTCCTGTTATTTAAAGCAGTAAAATCAATTTAATTATACGAAAACAATTAAAAAGCATTAAAAAGCAACATTATTAGAAAGCACATACACAGCAGCTTAGAAACCTTTATTTTTAGTATTACCTTTGTTGTTGGCATCTTCACCAGTTTCTTCTTCTTCTACTTCTTCAACATCTTCCATATCCTGTTGATCAAGTTCAGACTGTTCTTTGCTATTAGGAATATTCAATAACAGGATCAAGTTAATTTTGTAAAACACTATAATGAGCTTAAAGAGCTCAAGTTAGAGATCACATGGATAGAAGCAAACTGTTGCATCAGTTCTGATCTATGACAAACTATAAGTCTTAATGGACAAAAAGCCAAATTAGTCTTCATAGATTCAAGTTTCACACTCAACAATTTCAGAACAGTTTAAAGAACTAGCAGCTTTCCACAATTTTGAAGATTCCTTTTTGCAAAATAATTCCTTCAACTCCTGTTCATACCAACAGGTCAAAGCCTCCTTCTGTTCTACATATGCTCTTCGTCAAGATGTGCAGGCCTTGAGAACTGAGTGTAGGTTCACCCAAACTACACTTCAAATGTCACAAAACATGAGCATTTGAAGTATAGAAAAAAAACTACATACACAGAAACTACAGTAATGGTCAGTACAATTGTTTTTTCCCCTTCCAGAATTCCAACTAACAGTAAGCTGACTGGTGCCATGTCCCAGTTTTAGATTTACTTACAATTAAGATCACAAACCCATTTGGCATGAGCAACTCAAGCTTTTCTCCCACATACTATAAGCCACACATCTTGCCACAGCACCAAGATTACTGCCTAGGCCTCATCTATCATGCATCTGGAGACCACAGCCATCTGAAATACAGGAAAGGACAAAGTCTCAGTAACCTACAGGTTTTACTTACTTGTCTATGTCTGCCATTCTCCTTGATTTCAAACCCTAGAGGAAAAAAAAACCAAAAATGTAAGAACAGCAGCATTAGACTTCACTCAAAAGATCTACAAGCAAGTGCCATAATACTAAAAAGGCAAGAAATACAAACCATGTCAGCTTTAAGAAACAAGACAAATACTCATCATAATCTGAAGAGTGGGATATCTCCCATGCAGTTTTGAGTTCTCACTCTAAAGCATACCAAAATACTGAACTTTGTTCTGGTTTGGAACAAATAGATCTACTCACACAAACGTAAATACCAGCAAAATGTCATGTTGCACTTTGTATCATAGGACAGTACTACGTACAAAATCAAAATATAACCTGAGAAAAACTGAAGCAAAAAGGGTGCTAGAACCCTTTTGGTAACCGTTTATTCACTTCCAGTATGTAATTGCAGACAGAGGATACTTACAGCTAAATCAGTTTCTTTTAATACAAAAGATGCCTTTTTGTGGATTTACTTTTAATCCCAACTTTACAAGAACCAATCCAAGTAGTTCAGGAAACACCAAGCACCAAGAATAGTGCACTGGTCCAAGAAGCACGGAAACTACTGCTTCAGAGTCCCCATTTTGGCTGCTGTCCAGTACACTAAACAAACTCAAGTTTATTTCAGGAAGTTCAACACTCTATAATGCACTCCAATGAGAACTTCAGTCCAAGTGTTGGAGAAGTGTATTCCACAAAAAATGAAAATTGCATTTGTTCTGCCTCAAATGTGTAACAGAAGAGCACAATCCCTGTAAGATCAGGATATCAACAGTCAATATGAAGAGACATGTTAGAATCTAAACTTCAAAATTTAACACCTATAGACAATGAAATATAATCAAAATATATTTTTCTGGTGTCATAACTACTTCCAAACAATTACATGAGAATGCAGTATCTGATGTCTTCATTTAGGACCCCAACTTTACAGTGCAAATAAAGAATTTGTGAGATTGCACACAAACACAAAGGTTTGATGCCCTAATATGCAGAAAAAATAGAGAACCAACTACTTGTCAATCTATTTCAGAAAAATAATGGCAGCCCTACTGTAAACCAAAGGACATCTAACAATTCAATAAGAAATCAAGGAGTTCCAGTAACATTTTTTACTCATTTTAAGTTTCTCAAAATTAAGATCACGTTTGTCTGTCTTGTGACTTTAGGTTTATACATAGATGCAAACTGCTTATATGACAATTCCAAAGAGCCTCCTTTGTATAACATTATCAAAAAAAGATAGCATGGACTGAAGACCTACACAAACTGAAATCATATTACAGCTACAACTCTCATTTAGATGTCTCTATAGTTCTTGAGCAGCATAACAATTGGCATTATTTCAGATTTGCAAAAGATTTTATCCATGCAAAACATACAACTTTTTCCTTACACATTTCCTCTTGTTCTTCATGCAGGACCTTTTCAAAAAGACTAGTAGCATCACTGTGCAAAAGAACACAAGACGCACGCTTCACCTGCCTTTCACACATTTGTATAGAAATGTGACAGAAACAGTGATCACACTCACAAACTATTATTGCTCCTTGGAGAGAGTGACATTTCTTCTCTCCATTCTCCCCATCAAATATGGTTTAGCTTTCCATAAAACTAAAGGCAGTTCTTACAAAGCGGTGACCAGTGACAACACAACCTGTGGTCTCATGAATCCAGTGCACTAGATGAAACGGCAGCTGAAACACCTTAGATACAGGTTTGCTGAAAGAGATTGACGTCATTTAAGCATTTTTCTTTTAAATGAGGACATGAGATGGGCTATGATCATGTCATGCCTAAAAGCTTTCAGAAGTATCCCTCCCATCTCCAACAGTGGCCATTAGCAGATGTCTAGAGAAAAAAAAAGCAACAACATGGCAAGAATTCTCCCAAAAACTCTATCTTCCAATCACATTCAGAAAAAAACCACACTGGGTCAGGAAGTGCAGGTATTTGATAATACCATAATAAATGTTTATTTCATAAACTAGTCCTCATCTTCCCTGAAACCATGCAGATAAGCTGAAGTTACCACTCAAGTATCAAAGCACTAAAATCCTGTTTCTGAGTTGCTCAGAGATAGTAACTGAAATACTAGGGCCTGAGCAGTGAGGCCCTGAACCAAAATTGACCTCTAGATGAACCTCATAACCTAACAGTATATCTAATATGTATAATATTGATCACATATGCAATGTATTACCATATGAATATATGCCCATTTATAAAAGCTTTTGTTGTAATGCTTATAGAGCATTGCTATAATGCTTGCTGTGTCAACAGAAAGGTGCTAATTGTGTAACAGTAGCCACACTTGTTGAAAACAGATATGCCTGTCACAACCAATGGACAGACCTCTAGGTAGAAGGACGTAGCAGGGCTGTGACAGGCTTCATTGGGAGATACATAACCAGGATTACCAGATGCTTTTGCCCTTGTTAAATTCCCTCTCTATGTTCTGGCCAAACTCAAGATGAAAGTTGACAAGGGGAAAAATCACACCAGATGTTTTTGCAGTCTGAAATATAAAGTTGTTTGTTCAACTGTATAAAAGTGGGGAACGTTTGCAGGGAAATTTGGATGCCTCATCTATACGGTGGATGCACTGTACAGAAATCTCCCCGTTGCCAGGAAAGGTTCCCCAAATCCTCACTGCAACCACGATTTGGACTGCGGATTTGGATGATGCTAACATATTATTAGGGCAATTGATGATGTATCTTTCTTAATCACCATTGCTAATTCTATGAGGTAATAATTAGGTGCACTACCTTATTTTATGCTTGCTATAGTAGTTAGCTTATTTTTTTTGCCGCTTTACCTTATCTTGCTTTGAGTTATTTTCACCGTACTATTTTCCTCATTATTTTATCACTTTAAACATAAGTAAAAATAGGTTACTTCTTTAATTTGGTGCCTGTGTCCTGTGTGTTAACCCCATCAATTGGCAAAACAAAATAACTAAGTCAGATTTTTCTACAATGAGCAACAGCGTGGCAGAGGAAGTTTTACTAGCAGTCTCTGTGGTCTTGAATACTTCTGTGGGCCCTTGTTTTCACCATTCTGAACCACTACCTGTTATCAGCAACCTTCATCCTTTCTCTATTCATCCCTCTTTCTGAAATCCCTTATGGCCACACACTCATCTCACTACAGAAACCTATGGAAGTCCAGAATCTGCCTCTCCCCTCCTTGCAAGGGGGTAGTACAATCCACACAAGCACTGTATGTTTTCCAGCTATGGCCCAGTTTAATCAAAGACTTTGGATAACACTCTTCAAAGGTTTTCTGGAAATTAAAATAGAATGACCGTATCAAGCAGCTATCAACTTCAGAGCCTCCCTCCAGTGTGTTCCTATCTGCCTCATCCCATTTTCCCTACTCTCCTTGCATCAGTCTTTTTCATGTCTCATCCTTTAATCTTCCCCACACTTTTTATACAACTCAGTATCAGAACATTTGCAGTTGGAATAGTTCTTCTGCAAACTGAGGAGATACTACTGTTTGTCATGACACTGTCATCTGCCAGCTTAGACAACAGTTCTTGTACGAGGCGGCTACAAGGCACTATGCCAACAGAACTATGTTGGCAGACATTTAGACTAATCTGAGCAACCCAGTAGCATGGATATATAGTTGCATCACATTTAGTTTATTGTCATTTACTTAAACAACCATAAGCTTCTCTGCAAACACAGTTCTACTGGTAAAAAAAACCATAGAGGCAGAAAATCACTGAGAAAATGTGTTCCTTAAGAGCAAACAGCCTCCACTATTTGCGCACAGTGCCTAATATAAGGTCCCAGTCTAGTATCCAGAGCTTTGGATACAATATGTACTATACTGTTCAGTATCACTAAAATACATCATTGCAGTATTTGTTTTGCAATGCCTCCCCAAAACAAAGGTTTTGGATACAGTAGTTTTATCACTCAGCTTTCTGCAAGAAAGACAGCCACCCCTCCCAGTTTCATAGGTGTTTTTAGGATTGTGAACAGCAGCTGTACCTTGGCACATGAGCAGCAAGCAGCATTCACTAGTGTTGCTCCTTGAAGTAGTCCCTGGGAGATACCAGTCCACCAGTTGTCAGTGCAGGATTGTAACAAACCTGGCTACAACTGGTGTTTTACTTCAAGCCTAAGTATCTAGGTGACTGCTTTGGGCTGAGATACTACTTAGAATCTAGGCCTCCTGACTGCAAAAAAAGATTTATGAGTACCAATAAAGGGTAGCCTCCTCCCCTGTTCAAGAGCCAGCAGGCAAATAACCTTCTTATTTGTAAAGTATTTTATTTCCCTATTACTTAAACAGCTACAGTCAGTAGCACTGCATTATTGTCAAATACAGAGGTGCCCAGAGGCTTCACTTACAATGTTTTGCTGCTCACTGTTAAAATAGGCAGAGGAAAAGAAAGTTACCTTATCCTTGTAGGGCTTTAAAGAGAACACGTAAGTTCATGCTACAAAAAGGAAGCAAAACCACAGAAAAGCAAGCTACAGTGTAAGTTTTCTAAAGGCTAAAATTTACAACTTCTTTCATAACAGTTAGCTTAAGCTCAATCACAAGCCTGCCTGCCATCACAAGGAACATGTTATTTTTCAAAACAAAAAGGTTAGAAGACTCAATCCAGCACAAGCTTAGGCAGTTTTGAGCGCATCCAGCAGAATTACTAAAAATTAGCAGACCTAAGTTAAAAACTTAAATCTTACCAGTATGAAAATTTGCTATTTTCACTATGTTTAAAGCAGACTTCACCTCTTTAATCTGTCATGTTTAAGAAATGTAGTTAAATACAGGCAGAAACTAATAATAATATTGCCCTGTGTTCATCTGCAAGTTACCCATTAGTAAGCTTATAGCTTTCTGGGGTTATTGTTTCTTCACTAAGTAGTTTTGCTCAAGTGAAGACAGAAACACAAGCTGTAAATACTCAGCCCTTCAGAGTCTTTCCTTTTTTCCCCAGTCCGCCTTTATCCATGCAGAAACCACTCTGAGTTTGCACAGCAGC